TGCTGAGGGTGACCCCCCCCGACCACGTACTGTGGGTGACGGCACGAGGCCCCCAACATCCATCATCCCCCTCCGCCACCACCGCGACGCCAGGCGAGGATGCTGGAGAAGCGCGGGCGCTGTACGAGCGGGTGCGCATCCTGTGCTGGGTGATGACGGGACCCGGCACCCTGGAGACCAAAGCTCGGCACGTGCGGGCTACCTGGGCACGTCACTGCAACGTGGCCCTCTTCATGAGCTCGGAGCCGGACGAGCGTTTCCCCGCCATTGGGTTGCCCGTCCGAGAAGGCCGCCACCAACTCTACTGGAAGACCATCCGCGCCTTCCAGTACGTGTACCGGCATCACCTGGATCGGGCCGATTGGTTCCTCAAGGCGGATGACGACACCTTCGTGGTGGTGGCCAACCTGCGTTGGCTGCTGGCCGGCCACCCCCCCGATCGCCCCATCTACTTCGGCAAACGTTTCAAGCCCTTCGCCAAGCAGGGCTACATGAGCGGCGGGGCTGGCTATGTCCTCAGCAAGGAAGCCCTGCGCCGTTTCGTGACCGCCTTCGCCTCTGGCACCTGCACCCACACCAGCGCCGTGGAGGACCTGGCCATGGGCCAGTGCCTGGAGAAGGTGGGGGTGGAGGCAGGCGACTCGCGGGACACATGGGGCCGGGAGACCTTCCACCCCTTCCCGCCCGAGTCCCACCTCACTGACAAGTTCTCCCAGAGCTTCTGGTACCGGAGCTACTGCTACTACCCCATCGTGGAGGTAGGTTGCACCTCCCGGGACCCCCCAGCCATGGACATTGCCCTTTCATCCTGCCCCAGCTGGGTAGAGGCAACCACCAGGACGCCGAGGTGGCCACAGTCTCCCCATGTATGGCTACAGTTTCCCCACGCACGGCCATGGTTCTTCTTGCATGGCCATGGTCCCCCCTACATGACCATGGACCCCTTGCGTGGCCACGGTGTCCCCACAACCCATGGCCACAGTTCTTCTTGCATGGCCATGGTCCTCCATGTGTGGCCGTGAGACCCCTTGCATGGCCATGGTGTCCCCATGTCTGTCTGTAGTGTCCCCCCACCCCGCTATTTTTGGCCATGACATCCCCACACGGCACGGCCACGGTTCCCCGTGCCAGGCTGTCGCATCCCACCATGCACAACCATGGCATCTGCCCCATAAATACCTGTGGTGTCCCTATCCGTGGCCGTGGTG